GGCAGGCTGGCCTGAGCGCAGCTCCGGGTGTACGGGATAGGGCTGGGACGAGGTGACATACTTCGTCGTGGCTGTGGGTGTGGGAACAAACGCCTCTCAAATGCAACCGTTCTTTTTCTTCCCCGCCAGTGCTTAAGAGAACAAGCTTCGTGCTGTCTCTGCATCAGGAGTTCTGGAACCTCCAAACTGGGTCGGCGCTTCTCTATGAAAAAAAGATCGATTGGTCGGGGCATCGGGCCGCCGACCGCGAGGAGGACGAGGGGCTCGCGAGGCGGAGCTGCGACGGGGGGGAGCCAAGAGCGAGCTGCCCCCCCCGGGAGCGAGTTGGGGAGTGCCTCGAGGGAGGGTCGGAGGGCCCAGGCTCGAGGCCTCCAGGATCGAGGATTCGAGGGCTCGAGGACCGAGGCTCGAGGGATCGAGGGCTCGAGGAATCGAGGAGTCAGATCGAGGCCTCCCGGGTCGAGGAGGAGTCGGGCCTCCAGGATCGAGGAGTCGGGCCTCCAGGATCGAGGATCGAGGACTCGAGCCGTGATCGTCAGAATCACCCGCAACCCGAGCTGCAGGGCCGCCTGCGACCCGATCCGGCGCCATGCGGAGCGCCGGCCAAGGCCGCGACGCCGGAGCGATCCCGGTTGGCTCGATCTGCTGGCGTCGGCTGGGGCTCTTGCCGGAGCCAGGCGCGGCGATCGGCTGAGGCTCTTGCCGGAGCCGTCGATCTGCTGGCGATCCGATTCCGATTCGGTTCGGGACGGTATGTTGGCCATCCGATCTGTTTTCGATGCGATCCAGCGCAGGCCTGCCTCCTGGGACAGGATGCGTTCGCGCTCCCGTTCTCTCCAGGTGGGGATCGGTCGCTCGGCGAAACCCGAGTGAGGCGGCGCCCAGGCCCTCAAGCAGTGTCGAAGCGTCCTGGCTCGCCTCAAACCCCACCAAACAATGTTCTAAGAACCTGTGGTGGTTCCCACGAAATGTTCTTAGAACATTTCTGGCTGGGACTGTCTTGTTTTAACACATCGGGTCTACGTTCTAAGAACATTGTTTTTGTTCTTAGAACATTGTTGGGTTCTAAGAACATATCGTGGTATGACTTATAGGAATACCCAGACGGTCGGTCCCTGCTCAAGGCCCACGGGAAGGGGGGGAGGGGCAGGGCGGCCAGCGGGGCCGAGGTTCCCCGGTAGGGCTCAGGGTTGCGTGGCTCGTGCAGACTCGGCGCCTCCTCCTCGTCCTCGTCTCCTTCTCCTCCTCCTCCTCCTCCTCCTCCTCCTCCTCCTCCTCCAGGTTGGGATCGGTCGCTCGGCGAAGCCCGGGGGAGGCGGCGCCCAGGCCCACTGGAAGAGGAGGGGGGGAGGGGCAGGTCGGCCAGCGGGGCCGAGGCTCCCCGGTGGGGGTCAGGGCTGCGTGGCTCGTGCAGGCTTCGCGCCTCCTCCTCCTCCTCCTCCGCCTCCTCCTCCTCCTCCTCGTCCCCCCCTCCTCCTCCTCCTCCTCCCTCCTCCTCCTCCCCCCCTCCCCTCCTCCTCCTCTCCTTCTCCTCCTCCTCCTCCGCCTCCTCCTTCTCCTCCTCCTTCTCCTCCTCCTCCTCCTCCTCCTCCTCCTCGTCTCCTCCGCAGAGAGGAAGGAACAAGAACAGGTCACGTTCGGGGCTCAAGAGACGGGCTCGACACAAGCGGAGGTCAGCCAGGGCGCCGGGCCGTGCAGGATCCTTCAGGGCCAGGGGCGCAGTGACCCCGGGTAGCGCGCAGGGTCCCGCAGGACCCTGCAAGATCTAGCAGGAGCCTGCAAAACCTTGATGACCCGTGTCTGGATTGACCCGGGTCAGTAGATCCCCGACGCGTACGTAGACAATCGTCCTTACAGAGGAGAAGCATGGACGACCGCCACCGAGCACCCATGGGGGGGCAGCCAACCCCTGGGCGTGGCACGCCTGAGCGTCGCCCTGTGCTGGGTAACGCTCGGGCGTGCCACCGCCCAGGGGTCGCCCCCCCCCCCCCCCCCCCCACTCCACCAACGAGGGTGAGGACTTCAGGGGAAACCTCAGGGGGTGTGTCGACGAAGAAACAACTAGCATGAGCAGAAACTCTCGGAGCGCTGCGTGGATGTCGCGCGGACCTCCCAAGGCTTCTGCTCACAGTCAGGGCGCTGAAGAAGGAGTCCTTTTCGTTTGGGGGGGGGCTCAGCTGGTTCTTACAGTTTGCCCCAGGTCTCCCTTCGGTGCCCGTCGGGGAAAAAAGGGGCCTCGTAGGCCCCGGCTGTGTGCTCGTGTCGTATTCCTGTTTGCTCCCCTGCTGCTCCCGCACGATGGAACGGGAAGGAGGCAGAGGAGGGGGGAGGAGAGGGGGAAGAGAGGAGGCGGTGAGGAGGGCAAGAAGCAAACAGGGAGGCCTGAGCCGCTGGCCACGCCAAAAACGACACCCGCGGAGAGGGCGGGAAGCGAATGGCACCCGGGCGCGGGCCTCCCGACGCTTCTGCTTGCAGCCGGAGCGCTGAAGGAGTCCTTTCAGGAGGGGAAAAAACACACAGACACAATCAATCGTCGATTCACAAGAAAATATTGGAAAATATGGGAACTGGGCGGGAAGACAGAAACCCAGAAAATATGCGAAAATATGGGGAATCTTTTCTTTGTGTGTGTTTGTTTGTGTGTCCTTGGGCCCCTTGATCCTTTTCGTTTGGGGGGGGTCAGTTGTTTCTTACCGTCTGCCTCAGGTTTCCCTTCGGTGCTCGTCGGGAAAATTTGGGCCTCGTACGCCCCGACTGCGTGCTCGTGTCGTATTCCTGTCTGTTCCCCTGCTGTCGGCGTCACCCCAACACACTCATACTATATGTGCGGCGCCCCCCCAGGGGCGACACGCGCACCGAGAAATCTCATAGTATATGCGTCGTGGCGGGCGCTTTCTGGCTACACCGCCCAGGAAACGATAGACTACAAGATGGGTATATTACATGTTCGGGTCAGGCGCGCTCCTCCAGGGAGGACACACAGTATTAGTATGTCTCTGTGCGTCCCCTGCTGCCCCCGCACCGTGCGCCCCCGTCGGCGGCGGCTGCGCGCGGGGGGCGGCCGCCCGCCTCTGCCAAGACTGCCAAGAGAGCAGAGGCGCCCGGGGCACGTGCCGCCTCCGCGCGCCGGCCAGCCCTCTGGCCAGGCTCGGCTCCGCCCCGCCCCGTCCCTTTGCTCCGCCATCGCCTCCTTCGGTCCCCTCGCCCCCCCCTTCTCCTCCGCCCCCTCCCCCTTCTCCTCCGCCTCCTCCTCCTCCTCCTCCTCCTCCTCCTGCTTCTCCTCCTCCTCCTCCTCCTCCGCCTCCTCCTCCTCCTCCTCCTCCTCCTCCTCCTCCTCCTCCTCCTCCTCCTCCTCCTCCTCCCCCTCCTCCTCCCCTCCCTCCTCCTCCCCTCCTCCTCCCCCTCCCCCTCCTCCTCCTCCTCCTCCTCCTCCTCATCTTCCTCCTCCTCCTCCTTCTTCTCCTCCTTCTCCTCCTGTCGAGTGTATGAAATTGCACAACAATGGCATCAGCAACGTAGCAGCAGCAGCAGCAGCGGAGCGCAGTGAGTGAGTAGCGTAGTGTTTTCCACATTGAACTGTTCGAATCGAACTGATTGTCGACTATGCTGACAAGGGTTGCGCGTAGGATCTTGGTTGCTGCAAGGCGGTTCCTGGCCCTTTGGGCTCCGTCGTGTAGTGACGGAGGCTCTGCGTTGGCTTTTGCTGGCCCATTTTTTTTCAAGCAGCACGATGTCCAATCTCCCTCCTCGGGCCCTCGTCCTCCTCCTTGTGCTCATTTTCTGGCGCGGGCAGCGACGAGGCCGTCGCCAGGAAATCTTGATCTCGGTCTTGCCCTGGGATGAATTCAGGATTGCCCCTTCACGGCCCCCTTCACACGTCAGAGATCGTGGGGACGTGCCCTGGAGTTGCCGTGGCTCCGTAGGGTACCGTCCTGTCGCCTCGAGGCCCAGCCGTTAGGCGCGCTCCTGGTTTGATCAGGCTCGCCGCTCCAGAGTCATTTGGCATTCAACTCGTTGCTTCGCCCAGCGATGACGTTGATATCGCTGCGTTGCATAGTGCATCCAGCTCTCCCCAGAGACATCAGTTGGAGCTTATGGAGATTGTCTGTCTGTCTGTCTGTCTGTCTGTCCTCCTCATCCTGCTTCTCCTCCTCGTCCTGCTCCTCCTCCTCCTCCTCATCCTTCTTCCTCCTCCTCCTCCTCCCCCTCCTCCCCCGACGGCTCCTCCCCCCACGGCTCCTCCCCGCTGCTTGGTTTGTTCGTCTCCTTCGGCATCGTCGCCTTCGGTAGGGCGTGTCCTGCTGCAGGAGGAATCTTCGAAGATAGTAAAGATTAGTCTGGGGGGCGATCCTTCGATTTTTTTTGTCCGATTAGTTTTGATGTGTTGGCTATGTTGAATTTGTCCCGAAAAATTCGCCCTACGTCATTGATCCTCGCCCCCCCGCCCCGAAGGAGCTCGAACCATTGGACAGGGGTTGCGTTCGCGGGTGCGTTCTTGTACGGAGCTCGGCGCCCTGGCGCGAACGGCCGAACGACCGACCCAGAACGCGGGACGCCTTGGCGACACGGCCCGCCACCGCAGACATGTGTCTGGCGTGAGGCAGGCCGCACAGACGCCTCGACCACCGAACGAGCCCCCCCCCCCACCCGGGGCCATGGCTGCCGTCGTCCCCCGGGCCTTCCTCGGCCGCTCGCTCGCAGCATGGGGCCGTGGGGCCGCCCTTGGCCGCTCGCCGCGCTCCTGCTCCTGCGGCGGGCCCGCGCCGTGCGGGTCCTGGCCCCCTCGGTGCGCCCGCGCCCGGCCCTCCTCGCCCGCTCCTCCTCGCCCCTCCTCCTGCTCCTCGTCTTCGTCTTCCTGCTCGTCCTCTTGCTGATCCCTGCTCCTGCTCCTCTTGGCCCTTCGTCCCTGCGCGTCCTTCCTCGTCCTCCTTCAGATCTTTCCGCGGAAACGACGACCACGACCACGACCACGACGACCATGACGACGTGGCCCCCGACAGCCGCGGAAATCGACGCGTTCAAGCTGGCGGTGAAGAACCGCAGGCTGAAGGTCGACGAGGGGGCCGGCCACGAGCAGTACGAACCGCTCTACAAGGCCGCCCTCCGACGCCGGCCATCGGAGTGGGGCAGGAAGGGACGGAGGGAAAAACAAGGAGGATGGGAGGTGGCGGGGAGGAGGAAAAGGATGAGAAGGGGATAGTAAAGAGGGGAGGGAAGAGGAGGAGGTGGAGGAGGAGGAGGACCAGTGTAAACCCAAGACTCATCAACGATAGTGGAAACAAATCCTCCCTCCAAGCTGCGTCTTCATAGGCCCCTGCATCGACTCATTTCCTCTGAGGGAGCTGCGTCGTTGGATACTACCGTTTGAAGACCCTGGAGAACGCGAAAACACTCTTCTCGGGATTCCAACGCCACGGAACAACCTGACTGTTGCGTCTAGACAATCCAGAAGTCTGCCAGAGCGCCATCCAGGGGATTTGAACACCGCGAACCAACGCAACTGTTGCACCCCCATAATCTCGAATCCGTCCAAAACACCATTCCTGGTACGCTGATTCAGGGAATCCGTGAAACTCCTTCAAGGTTTGAAACAATTCGGGCGAAAGGTTCGGGACGAATGTGCGCGGCGTTGAGGCGAAATCCACACATTTTCAAAATTAGCCGCCCTCCACCCGGAAAGCTTTTTGCAAATGTTTAAGACGAGTGTGGGTGGCGTTGCGGCGAGAACCAAAGTTTGAACACGACCCGCCCGCCCCCCGCTTGCTGACCTGGTGCAAATTTTGATGACGAAAGTGCGCGGCGTACGGCGAGAGTCACATGTTGAAGACCACCCGCACTCCGTCAGTGAAACAGCTGCAAGCGTTAAACTTCAGGATCATGTGCTGCGAGAAAATTTTGAGCGAAACGCTCGGCCCGCCCTACTGAGCGCGGCAGGGAGGAGTTCGTTTGTGAGGAGACGGAGTGCAGGACGAGGAGGGGGAGGAGGAGGAGGAGGGGGAGGAGGAGGAGGAGGAGGAGGACGAGGAGGAGGAGGAGGAGGAGGAGGAGGAGGAGGAGGAGGAGCAACACGGGTATAAAAGGGCGGGAAGGCGCCAACTATATACCTTTGCACCGATATCATGGCCCCGCCCGTCGTGGGCCAGTGATCGGCGCAAGTCAAGCGCCCTGATCCGCCAAGCCGGGAGGGCATATATGCACGTGCCCAGGCCCAGGTCGGAAGTTGGCTTCTTACAAGAGTACACATTGTTCCTTTCTAATGATTCGAGTGTTTCTTTTTTGGGGGGGCAAGATCCTCTCATTTCTAATTCTTCTATCCTGGGCCTCTTTCCGGCGGCCACTAGGGGGCCAGAAACAGTTAGAAACGAGCACAACTAGAAATGAGCACGATTAGGAACTAACGACATGTATGCCTGTCTTTCCGTCTGCTGCTCGTCCTGCCCTTTCGTCATCGCCAATTGTCGGCGCAGAAGGAGGGCGAGGAGGAGGAGGAGGAGGAGGAGGAGGAGGAAGGAGGTGGACGAGGGGGAGGTGGGGCAAAAGGAGGAGGAGCAGGAACAGGAAACGGAGGAGGAGCAGGCGGAGGAGAGGAGGAGGAGGCGGAGGACAAGCAGACGCAGGTGGAGTAGGGGGGATGAGGAGGGCCTTCTGTTACTTTCCCGCTACTTTCCAAAGCCATCCGGGCGCGTTCGCCCACGGGCCCTCTTACATAATTTGTCGTTTGTTTCTTCGTCCTTTGCCTGCCCTCAGCGCGAGGATTTTGCGCCAGCCGCTGCTGACGAGGAGGAGGAGGAGAAGGAGGAGGAGGAGGACGAGGAGGAGGAGGAGGAGGATGAGGAGGAGGAGGAAGAGGAGGAGGAAGACGAGGACGAGGAGGAGGAGGAGGAGGAGGAGGAGGAGGAGGAGGAGGATACTTTTCGACATCGCTGCCTATCTCCTGGGGGAGCTTCTGGTGGGCCGTCGTCGCCGCGGCGGGGCCCCCTCCTCCGCCCGCTTCCCTGATGGTCCGGGCTGTCCTGGCTCGGATGTTTACGGCCCGGTCGTCCCCAGGCACGCGGCGCCGTCGCGAGTCGCTCGCCGAGCTGAGGCTGCGGGGGGGAGTCGGGCTCCTCTCGCTCCTCCGCCCGAGCCCCCCCCGGCCACGGCGTCGGCATGGCGAGGGGAGGGGTCAATCTTTCTGGCAAGCGGCGGGGAACCCGGCATCGCTTGGACGTGTGCATTTTTTCTCGGCGAGAACCATCGAGGACCATCCTCGACCAACGAGCAAAAAAACACGCACGAAACAAAATGCACGGGAAATGGACGTCCGAGCGACGGCGAGGGAAGGGCACGCGCGTCTTTTCCACGCGTCCACGTCGGCTCTTGGCGCCCCTTTGGCGCCGTCGTGACCTGCCCACCCCCCGCGGGCTCCACGACGCGCGCCGTGGGCCGAGCGTGCAAAAAGTGCCCCGTGCGGGGCGGCCTGTGGGCCCGCCCTGCCCCGAGCTTTCGCGCCCCGGGCCTGGCCAAGGAGCTGGCCGCCGCACGTGCGGCCCGTGCGGGGCCCCGGGATCGACGAAGAAACACCGGCACCGGACATGGGCTGTCGCTTGGCATCGCTCGGACGTGTGCATTTTTCCTTCGGCGAGGACATCGAGGAGCATCCTCTATCATTTGGCGAAAAAACCACGCACGAAACCAAAAAAAACACAGGGAATGGACGTCCGAGCGATGGCCAGACATGGGCACTGGACATGGGTTGTCGCTGTCCCGCGCGGATCTCTTGGATTGGCCCTGGACGCCCCTGGAGGGCCACCGGCGTCGTCCCTGGTGCGCTCCGCGCTCCACGGAGAGAGGGGTTCCGGCGCCGAGCCAACGAATATTCGCGCCGACCCCAACTGTGTTTTTTCTCCTGCTAGTGCTGGGTGCTTCGCGTCGCAACGCGAGGGAGGCGACGGGCAGTTCGCCCCGACCCCAAATGTGTTTTCTCTCGCTAGTGCTGGATGCTTCGCGTCGCAACGCGAGGGGGGCGACGGGCGCTGAGGCTCGGATTCGTCGGAGCAAGTGTAAGGCTGCACGGTTCGGGTCTGCTCTGTGGGGGCTCACGTGCGCCAGTGACGTGAAGCGACATTGACGACAGGAAGGTATTTTGGCCGGATGCCTCACCGAGGAGCGAGGAACTGGGGGAAGGAAAGGGGGCACCCCAGACCCCCGTAGCCGCGATTGATGCACAGCATGGACCCTCCAGAGGTCTGGACCCCTTCCTGGGGATGTTTTTTTTCACCCCGAGTCGTTGTTCAGCGGTCCCGGGGGGGCCCGAGGGGCTGGACATCGGCAGCAAATGTACGTCGCGATCTGTCCTTGCTGCGCGAGGGTGTCTGGGCAGGCGGCGTCCTTGACCGAGCGAGCACGGTCGGCGGGCACGGGCACCGTTTCGGAGCGGGCCTTTTGTTCTGCAGTCGTGGGCGCGTGCACCGAGGGCCCTCTGCCCGCGTCGCGCTGGCCGGGGCACGAGGCGTGCCGCAGTGCAGCAATTGCGGCTGCTGTCCCGGTGGCCCTCTCAGGCTCGGCCGCGGAGCATATGCGAGCTCGTGTGAGTTGCCCAGAGGAGCCAGATGATAGTGATGATGATGCGTTCCAGGATTCGCAGAAGGTTTTCCTGATTTGCCGGGTGTCTTAGCGTTCCACACGGGCTGAAGTAACGAGGGCCGCTAGATACAGCCAGCCCGCACAGTGAGGATGAGCAGCATTCCAAGGTTACCCTTGCGTCTTTCCCCTTCGGCTCATCCTTGGCCGCTTTTCCTGGTCGCGCCCCGCTCGCAAAGTGCGGCATGGCCTTCAAGGTCCCTGCATCCCTATCGCGCGTCCCTATTATACGGGCCAGCTGTACTTTCGAAACGCTGGAACGAATCCTGAGCCAATCTTATCACTTGGCATCGCTAGGACGTGTGATTTGTTCCCCGCGAGGACCGTCGAGGAGCATGCCTATTCACCTCGCGAAAGCATGTGCACATTGTTCATTTCTAATTCTTCGGAAATTGTTAGATTTTTTTGGGGCCAAGATCCTTTCATTTCTAATTGTTCTATCCTGGGCCTCTTCCTGGCCACTAGGGGGCCAGGAACAATTTGAAACGAGCACAATTAGACATGAGCACGCTTAGAAATGAACGACGTGTGTGCACCACGCCGAAAATACACGGGGAATGAACGTCAGAGTGATGGCGAGATCATTACATCCACCTCGCCCCGATCTCTCGACGGGGGCGCCCGGGGAGGGACGCGAGAGGGGGCACAGCGCCTCCCCAGAGGGCAGTGGGGCTGTTCCTCATCCTCCTCCTCCTCCTCCTCCTCCTCCTCCTCCTCCTCCTCCTCCTCCTCCTGTCCTCCTCCTGTCCTCCTCCTGTCCTCCTCCTCCTCCTCCTCCTCCCCCTGCCCCCGCTGGGCTCCTTGGAGTCACCCCCTGGCCTCCCGAGCAGCCGTCTCTGCCTTCGGAGAGCTCTCGGCAGGTTCCCCACGAGTCCGGGCCCTCGGGGAAGGCCCGCCCCTCTCTGCCGATTCCCCGCGGGAGCGCACCGCCGAGGCGGAGCGCACCGCCGAGGCGGAGCCGAAGAGGCTCACAGCCGAAGAAGACCAAACTGCAGACTGATAGCGAGAGCGAGCAATCCCACATGGGTGGCATCGACGAGGATGAGTTGAAGAAGCTCGAGGAGGCGACGAAACATCGCGTCGACGAGGAGGAGAAGTGAGCCGTATCGGGCAGGTAAACCCTTTGCAGTGAAGTCTGGCCAGCGAAGGGAAGACTCGAGCATCGGTGCTGTCTATAGCGATTGCTAGTTTGGGCGCCCGAGCAAAACACAAAAAAGAAGACAACACTGCGTAATGCTGCAGAAGAGTCAGCGTTCAGGCGTCCGCGTGGGTCGAGGTCCCAGCTCCGATCCAATGATTCCTGGCGGAACTCCGAATGCTGTCAGGGCAATGCAGTCTGCTGTTCTGTATGACAGTCCAACAGGATCATCAGGATGAGTAGTTTTGCAAGGGCACCCTTTCATCCTTGCACCTCCACCTTCGCTGGCAGTCTTCGACTAGACGGCGTAGTAAACTCTGGGATCCACAATGCATCCCTATGGTCCTGTCGTGCTGTAAAGAGGTCGTCGGCGAGCATTCTGCATCGCGCTGTCCACCCTTCTCAGGCTCTCGGCCCGCACGACCCCCGTGGCTGTCGCCCACGTTCGCGCGCGGCGCCAGAACAACCTGTGGAAGCTGAAGGCGGAGGGGGACAACCAGAAGTCCGAGGACTGGTTCAACCGCGAGATGTGGATCGCGAAGAACGGGAGCCTCGTCTACTACAGCAAGAAGGAGCCGCCGGCAGCCCAGGGGGGAGCGGGGGGGGGGGGGCGAGCGCGGCGCGCGCGGACCCCCACCCGGACCCCGCGGGCTGCGCGAAGGCTGTCGGCACCTCCGTGCCAGAGAGGGGCGGAAAGGGGACGATCGCACGCCACCGGAGGGAGAGAGGAGAAAGAGAAGAACCAGGCGGGGGGGGGGCGTTCACTCAAGGTTTGCGCCTGCCGTTTTCGCTTCCTCCTTTCTGTCCTCCCCGCCATTCCTCCTCTGCAGTCTGCCCTGCGTTGATGCAGCGCGTATACGTCTTAGTGTGGTTCAGCTTACGCCTTGTAGCATACAGGGCTAACCTGCATTGCACATGGGATTGGGTTGTTTCCATCGCCCGAGAAAGAAATAAAGAAAGAAGATAAAGAGAAGGTGTGCGGTCGACCGCGAGCCTTAAAGGTGGCCCCTCGGAGAGGACTTCTTTGCTCCACGGAACGGCATTGACGGGCATCCCCGAGGGCCCGCGACAGGTCCCCCCCCCCCCCAGGACAAAAGACAGCCAGGATCGCGGGACTTCCGTTATTCCCTCCCGAAGTTTAGACAACATGTCTTGGCCTCGATTTCGTTCAGCCCGAAATGATGCAGGCAGTCTGCCAGGACTCCGTCCTAGGCCCACTTGGGCAGCGCTTGCACAGGGCAGCCTGACAGACTTGCCGAGAACACCCTCAAACAGCTTGCGAGCCGCGCCCCCTGGTGACTGCCACGGGCCAACTTTGAGCGGACGGTTGGGGCGCTTCAGCCTGCAACAGGCGGCCCTGTTCTGTTTGTCCGCTCCTAGCAGGGCCGCCTACGGCCCCCGCACACGCTTCTTTGAGCCCCTCTCGCGCCTCGGGATACGGTCGAGTAGCCTCCGCACGAGGAGCCAAACAGGAGGGAGGGCGCTTCCTCCTGCAACACGGGGCACTCGAGCAAGAGATGACCCCCCTGCCTCCGCCTCCGCGGGTCCCTCCGAGAGACCAGAGGGGGTCTGGGCTGAGGCCCTCAGGGGGTGGGCCCGCCTCGGAGCCTGCGAGGGCGGGGGGGGGCGCTCCTGGGGAAACGGGCTCCGCCGCAGACGCAGCAGAGGCCCGCTCCTCCTCCTCAGCCTCCTCCCGCCTAGCCTCGTCGATGGCCGCCCCGAAGCCCCCACTCTCCAGAGAAATCAGAGAGAGCCCATGGGCTCCGACGTTGCCGAAACGGTCCTCGTCGGCATAGATATCAAGTTCAGTCGCGAACAACATGCCGCTGGCCTACACAAACATAACATTCATCGTACCGACTGAGAGGTGCACCCTTCTTAACAAGACGGTATGATTCATCGTTGTTTTGCTTTTCGGATTCCGGAATGTGCCCTTCACGGGGTGTGCCTGCGTGAAGTTAGCTCCAACCCTTTTTACAGGAGGCCCCCTCAGAGATTCGTTTTGCGCAGAAATCCGGCGCCACAACCGGGCGCGACCATTTGCCATCCTGGTCGGGAATTTTCAATCTTTGCAGCTTTGCAAAGCCCCGCAGCAGTCTGAGTAGAGTGCGCAGATGCCCCCAATGAACCTGGAGGCAACAAAGACAGCATAATCCTCGCCATCCCTGGCAATCTGATCTGGGCACGCGGTGACCTGAACCGCCATCGGATTCAGCGGCAGTGGTTCCAGGGAGGTAGATGGTGGACACTTACCCTTGGAGGCCGTGTAGCCTTGTCGCGTCTGTGCTTTGTTTTGCTATGTTTCCTCTGCTGTCGAAGCTTCCCGATCCTCAGCAGTAACTAGCGCCATGTGGCGCAAGTAGTAAACTAAGCATGCGGGCCTCCATTTCATTGCTGGTGGAAAAATGCTCCATCCATGCCGCGCACCAACTTGTGTCAAGTTTTGCTCTGGCAAGGTCTGTGCATTTGAAGTGCTTTGAGCCTGTTTCTTTCTAGTCTGGGCGATAACGCTCGTGATCGCCCCCGCCCCTCCCCCCCCCGATCACGTCGCGCTGTTCCCCCCGCGTGTCTCAGGGAATCTTCCAGGGTTTCCAGAGAATCTCAAGGGTCTCCCAGGAATTCGTCGTCGTCGCTGTTGTCCGCGACCGGGAGTTGAAGGCGGAGGAGGAGGATTACCCAGTATTGCCCCAAGCCAACGCAGTCGTAAACGCCTCTAGAAAAACGGGGCTCACTTAAGAGGCTAGCCTTCGGAGGGCCGTTTGAGGACCACCCCTCTCACACTTGCACTCCTTCCCGAGGTCCCTTGCATGGCCAACCTTGTCCCTAGCCCTGCAGCCATACTGCGTGCACGCCCAGTGAGGCTCATAAAACGTCATCCAGTGGGTCCAATGAACGACGCTGGAGCCTGGTGCTACACAAGAGCTGGTGGCGGGCTGGGGCGGGGGAAGACCGGGGCACTCAGTGCAAAGCCAATTCTGCAACGTTCTCGACGACGCACTGGCGCTGCTCATGCAAACGGAACAAGCCCGACGTTCCTTCCCATCCTGCTTCAAGGCGTGGGTTGTGGCGGCCTGGGCTTTGCTGAGAGCTGATGGCCTCAACCTGCGCAAGGGGGCGGGCTTCCTCGCGCGCGGTCGGGGCCGACCGCTCCTCAGTCTGGAATGTAAATGGCGTAGCTCGTGCGATTCTAAGCCTGATGAGGGAGAGAGCGGAGTTGGCCCACCTATAAGATTCGAGCTGGTTTCTCGACAAAGCATGCCTGGCAACCGCCTTCGCCGCCATCTCATCAGCGACTTGATTACCTAGCCAAGCCTTTCGTGGGGACCCTCGGGCCATGGATTCCTCGGGGGCAAGGTGGCCGTTGAGAAATTGAACGATGGCATGCTAGCACTCACGAACCTCGAACTCACGACCGAGGGCTTCCCGCAAGCCTCCATTCACAGACCAGCCCGCAGGCCTCAAGTCACGCCCTCTCGCCCAGCCGTTGAACAAAATATTTCTGTCAGTCCAGAATTCCATCTCTCCGCTCGTGAATTGCAATGCCGACAACAAGCTCATGTTTTAGCACGGTTGTTCAATTGACGGTGGCCAGGCAAGGGTCCCATGGTCCCTCCTCGCAGGTCTGGCGCAGCCTCGGAGCCTTCCAGAAGGCGCCAGCCCCAGCCGCAGCGGCGGTAGCGTGCATCAGAGGCCTCCTCGCCGCCGCCGCCGTCGCCGCATGCGAAGTGCCGCTGGCCTCAGGGCGCTTGGCAGCTGCCATCCACCTTCCCGAGGTAGCGCGGCGCAGGCTGCGTCTCGCGCGGCGGCGGGATCCTCCAGCTGCGCGGCGGCGAGCCCCTGAGCCGCGCGATGGTGCACTCTTGGAAGCCCCTCGCCGCCATGTCGCAGAGGCTCTCCGTGCTGTCGAAGTCGGGGTGGGCCGGGCGGCGCGGGCAGCTTCCCGAGATGCGGTGGAAGTCGTCGGCCACAGCCCCGCGCTGGCACCTACCGTCGCCCGCGCGCTCCTCGCCCAGAGCCTCTCGGCACTGTGCCCTGGTCCAGGTGCTGGCCGTCATGGCCTGCAGCAGCGCGTTGGCTTCTGCGGGCTCGGACTTGCGTCGCGTCTTTAGCGTGAGCTTCGCGTCGGACATGTCCAAGCCCTCCTCCATGCCCTTCTCCCGGTGGCCCGCGGAAGCGTTGCTCCAGTGGCGCGCCGCGATGTCGTGGGCGACGGCGTCGATGACGTCGGCAGGGCCTCGGTGCCCCGAGCCCTTCTTCAGCGTCCAGCAGTCGCCCCGCGGCTCTTCCCAGCAGGGGGGGGGGGAGGTTCGGCATCCAGCCCCTCGGGGTCTGAAAGCCACTGGGCCCACTCGGCCTGCTCCCTGCACAGATCGAACCTGTGGGCCATGGCGACTCCTTTCCCCGCCTGCACCGCCATCCCATTGGGCACAGCGAGCGGCGCAGACGAGATGCCGCGGAGGGGGCACTCCACGAGGCTCGACGTCGGAGGGCCCGATGGGCCGGGCGGCGACCTGCCGACGGCACTCCCTCCACCGCCAGCTTCTGGCAGGCGCTTCGAAGCTCTCGCTGCCGTTGGCTCCTCCCCTGCCTCTGCTGCGCAAGGTGTGCGGAAGCCCGCCAGCCCGCGGAGCAATTGGCACATCGAGGTTGTCTCAGCCCCTGCGCGCCGGGCGGATGCGCCGTCTCCACAGCAGCTTGCGGAGTGGGGCATGGATGTGCATGGAAAAACGGGAACACCGGAAACTGGAGCACATGCATTACCAGTGGCGGGCGTTTTTCAATCCCAGGATTTCTTCGACGGTCGGGGACGACGTCGGGGTGGTTAGCTGTATACTTGTTTCCCCGCTTTTCCCGGGGAAACAACGGAGAATGTATACACCAGGATCCCGTATACACCAGGATCCGGTTTTCTGTGCGAGATTCAGTGTGCCAGACAAAGGCGTCGGTGCGTAGAGTCCGGCTCCCTAACAAAAAGGCCCCTGTCCCGCCTCGCCCACCACGTGGGGTGGGACCCGAAGCGGGAAGTGAAGAAACGAATGGCTGGCGCCATAGCGCATGGAGCCTCGAGGGAGGGAGGACTGCGAGGAGGATGGGAGGGTGATCAGATGGAGGAAGCCTTCTCCTCCTTCTCCTCCTCCCCTTTCTCCACCCTTCGTTCCTCTGTGGCCTCCGTGTCGGTTGCCGTCCTCGCCGTCGTCGTCGTCAGAGGCTGCCATTCCTGTTCTCTCCTGCCCGGACCTCGTGCCTCTGCGCGGGCGCGCGCGAAGCCAACCCGGAACCGCCCTGGCATCCCCTCTCCCGGCCCTCCTTCCCCATTCCTCCCTCTTCCCTCCCCTCCTCCCATCCCCATTCTCCATTCCCCTCCTCCCTCCTCCCCTTCCCCTCCTCCCCTCCTCCCTCTTCCCTCCCCATTCCCCATTCCCTCCCCACTTCCATCCCCTCCTCCACCCCGAGGGCTTTTGCAGGATGCCAGCCCCCAGGGCAGCACGGACCCCTGCTACACATGGGCCTCGGGAGGCACCGGGGCCCCCGTGGCTCCATCGCTCGCCCCAGCGAAGTTCGACTCCGTCGACGCCGAATTCTCCCGAATTCTCCTCCCGCCTCCCTGGCACCGCCTGCCCGCGAGCCGTGGAGACCTCCTCACCGGAGCCGCTCTCGACGGAGCCTGCCGCTTACGGTCAGAGATGTTGGCTCCGTGTGTCGCTCCGCCAGTTCTGGCCCACCACGCTTCGGCGCGGCACGCTCTCCACGCTCCGATTCCCGAGCGTCAGGGTCCCGAGCTTCTCCTGGCCGCCCGCCCTTCGGAGCGGAGCGACGCGCCATCCAACAGTTCCTGACCGTAACCGGGCGGTTACTGATCTTCGGCTGGTGTAGTCTGGCCGGGGTATAAGATCGAGGTCGGTTCGGGAAGGGTGCCTTAGTGTTTTGCGAGATTGTTGGGTGTTCTTGTGCTTCCTCGGGGGGGTACCCTGGAATTTTGGTTCGTTGTGGCCGACGGAGGGTCTCATGTTCTTGAAGGATGTTATTTTGGCCTAGGTCCGACTGTATTCGACATGCGTTGTGGGTCACCACTGCCCGCTCTCCACCTCCCCGCTCTCCTCCTCGTCCTCCTCCTGCTCCTCCTCCTCCTGCTCCTCCTGCTCCTCCTGCTCCTCCTCCACCTCCCCGCCCCTCCTGCGGCAGCTTCGTGCCGCGTCGACGCGGCGGAGGCCCCACCGCGGGCATTTGAGCCCCGCCGGTGGCTCGGCCTCAGTCGGCATCGGGCAAGCCTGCATCACGTGTTGCCAAGCCACTGTAGCGAGGACCACTTTGGCTTCAGGAGGGGCCCTGGTTGGAGGGAGGGGGGGAGGAGGATAGGGAGGGAGGGAGGAGGAGGAGGTGGGGGAGGTGGAGGAGGGAGAGCAGGAGGAGGAGGAGGAGAAGGGGAGGGAGGAGGAGGATGTCATCGAAGTGCTGTCGAGTACCACTCCGGCCTCAGGAGGGGCTCTAGCTCTCGGGTTGCTGGGTCGTTGAGCCCGCTCCTGGCCAAGGATCTCGCCGTGACCAGAAGAGCCTCTCACTCCTCATCCTCTGAGTTCCTCGGAGCGCAAATTTTTCTGGGGCGAAGCGGGCGTTGCTGGACGGGAGGGGGGGCACGACCCCAAGTCTGGTCGCGAGTTTGACGATCATGTGCCGCATGTTGGTGTACAGGGCGGGAGAGGCCATGTATTTTCGGGAGTCACCCATGCCGTTTCCCTTCTGGAAGGATCCGATGTACAAGGCGGGAGAGGCATTGTACCTTCGGGAGGTGCGTCTGCCGCCTTTGCCTCCGCAAGCGCGTTCTCCGCGCCTGACGGTGGCAAGTGGCAGCTGCTGCAGGCTAACCAGGCTCTTCGTGAAGGGGGGGAGGGTCTGTTTGCGGATGCCATCGTTGGAGCTTCTCCTAAAACGGCGACTCCTGTGCGAAGGCGACGTACCCTGCGCCGTTGTTGGGTGCACTGTGGGGGAGAAACGTCGTGCTTCGGAAGTCGCCCCCTTCAGGTCTCCCCTTGGCAGGGGAAGCTGCACAGAGCGGGCGATGCGCTGCACCCTGGGCAGGTGTCCCTGCCGTTCACCGAGCCGCCGCTGCCGCGAGCGCGTCCCCTGCCACGCCTGACGGCGGCGGGAGGCAGCCGCTGCAGGCTGTCCTGTCTGCTCGTGAGGAGGAGGGCGACCTCCGCCTCGTCGCTGCCTCTGTCCCTGCGGGGCCAGACGACCCCGCGACTAGCCTTGCGGGCGGGGCCAGGTCGCAGCCCCGCCCTCGGCCTGTCACAGCCGTTGTGCAGACTTCACAACTTCCCCCCTGCCACTGTCCGCCCGCCCCCCTTGTGGGCTGACGAGGTGCCCGCCTGCGCTCAGGCCTGTGCTGGCCCCATGTCTGTCCAGCCAGCGCGCCAGCCACCCAGACAAGTGCGCCTCCAGGCTGCTTGCGCCCTCGTCTTCTCCTCCTCCTCCTCCTCCTCCTCCTCCTCCTCCTCCTCCTCCTCTTCGATTGGTGAGCGGTCTTACATCCCCCCGCGATCACGGGCGTTACGGGGGGGTCGAGGGGGGGGCGGTAACATCACGTCTCGCGCCAGTGCAGTATGGGATTGCTTAGGAACAGCCGAAGACAGCTCCGAGGTCACAACGAGTCGTCACGTTACATGGGAGCGGAGGGGGGAGGCCAGGGCCCGTGACGGCCGCTATCGTGAAACATAAAAAAACGCCCTCTTGTGGTAGCGCGATGATCGCACTCGCCCCCCCCCCCCCGCCCCCCCCCCGCCCCGCCCCCCCAGCAGGACGAGAGGGAGCTGATCTACTACACCACCGCAGACGTCCACCGCGCGCTCCCCGGGGGCCCTGGGGCCGGGGCCGTGGGCTGCTGGCTCCAACTTGAGGGGTTGTCGGAGTAGTGGAAACCAGGGTGATGCCGAGATAATCAGCTACGAAGCGCGACTCGTGACCCCCCCTTTGCTATCCCCCACCCTCTTCCCATCGTGTTTTCGACATCGTGTTCGGCGGGACCGATCCGAGTCGTTCCGGAGATTCCGACGATCAGGGTGCGTCCTGGTGCTTGCACGGCGCTGATGTACATTCCTGGCGCCGCCGATCCGATTCGGTCTCCGACCCCATGGCGATGCGACCGATCTGACGTTTGTTCCGATCCCGTCCGACTTACCCTTTCGATGTTGACCTCTCGTGCGTCCCCTGTCGCCATCACCATCGTTCTCTTCTGCCCTCGCCGTGCAGGCTTCGAGTTGAGGCCCTCCCCAAGCAAAGGGTGCCTCCCCCGAGCCAGGTCCTCGAAGGAGGACTGTCCAGTGGCGGCTCAGTTGCCCGGAAGCTTGGTCAGTGAGCAACCGTGCTCGCCCTCCACCCCTCCTTTTCTCACTCCGCCGCTCCCCTCCGCTCTCGCCCACCACAGTTCTCCGCCGTGAAAGTTCTCATCCTCTCCCTCCTCATCCTCCTCCCCCTCCTCCTTCTCCCCCCTCTCCCCATCCTCGTCCTCCTCCTCCTTCTCTTCCTCCTCCTCCTCCTCCGCTCCGCCTTCTGATCTGGGCGCCGCAGATACGTCTTCGGCCCAGGGGGGGCCGCTTCGAGGCTCCGGGGCCGTCAGACAAAACAGCCGACCCGACGAGGAGCGTCTGCCCCCCGGGGAAGTGGCCGAGGCCGCGGGGGCCGGGATCACGAAGAGCGCACAGTGCTTCGACTCTACGCGCAAGAGTGACCCTTCGCCGATCGCCGAGTCCACCGGGGGTCCGCCGATCGCCGAGCGCGAGGCGGCAGTGGCGTCCTGCGCGCTCGTGTGTTGGGCCCCCCCGCGGTTTCCCAAGAAGCCGCGCACCGAAGGGTCACTTGCTCGGACGGGGGCCAGGACGAGGGTAAGTCCGTTCCAGAGCGTTCCGGAACTGTCTCAGAGCTTGTCGGAACGCTCCGAGCGCTCGAAGCGTCCTCCAGAGCCACCAGATCTCAGAGATTCTCGGTCGATCCTCGCCCAATGTTATCCTCGTCATCGTTTCGTCTTGTCTTGCGTGTCGCCGAATGCTGCAGTAGAGGGCCTCCGCCCCGTTCCTCCCTCGCTCCGTGGGGCTCACAGGCCTCTGGAGGGCCCGTGCCAGGAGGCCGGATCAGGTCCGATCGCGCGCCGGGGGCCCCGCGCGCCCCACACGTGGAGGCGCCGTTGGAAGTCGTGGAGTCCGGAAGCCAGCTGGCGGAGCGCCAGAAATCAGGAGGGGAAAAAACACACAGACACAATTCATCGGCGATTCCCAGAAAATGTGGGAGAATATGGGAAGTGGGGGGGAAGACAGAAACCCAGAAGATATGGGAAAAGATGAGGGATAGTTTTATTTGTGTATATTTGTTTGTGTGTTCCAGTTCCCCTTCAAGAAAGGTCTCCCAAAAGCCTCTTGAAAGAGCTCAAGAAGCTCTTCGAAGGAGCTTCCAAGTAGCTTCTGGAGAGCTTGGTGGCACACGTGTTGGGGAACAGTTGGAAAAGGCCTTCCGGGACAAGCTGCCGGCCCACAGATTCCCGCGAGGTGTTCTCACGGACGCCAGAGCGAGCTCCGGTGCCACCCTGCGCAGCGGGCCTCCAATCTGAAGCCCTCCGTAGCTGTCAGAGAGCTATCCGGGAAAGCTATGCAGGTGCACACACACCCCTCCAGGAACGCGCTTGCCGGCGAGCTACGACGAAGCCATGAGGCCCACCAAGTCCAGAAGATGACATCACTGTTTTGTCAGCCGCGAGCTGGGTCCAGCAGGCGGTCGAGCACATGGGAAGGCAGGAGGAAAAGGAGCAGCTGAGAGAGCACATATCGTCTGACGGACTCTGTCTGAGTAGCTCTCGCTCAGCGTGTCGCGTCGCCGGTTCTGTCCAACACTGACATGGCCATAAATTCGTTCATTTTTGCGTCGTGGGGCTCTCTGCGGAGGGTTCTTGGAGGCCTCTCGGGGCGTCTTTGGGCGGCTTGGAACAGTCTTTCGGCGATTTGGTACCTTCTTGGACCGTCTTGGGGGCCTTTTGAAGTCCTCGTGGCCCGTGGCGGGGCACTCGATCTCCTTATGATGCGTTCGACCCGGGCTGGGGGAGGGGGGGGGGGGCGGTCCAGTTTCCGGCGTGGTGCCCTGGGTGAAGAATCTCAGACGCCTAGAGACCCACAAGGGGACGGCGGATTTGTTTCACCAGCCGAGCATGTCTGGGCCTGGGTGGCGCCAAAGCCGAGGCGCGAAGATCGACATCCTGAACTCCGGGGAGACATGCAAGCCCTTCGCGTTCCGCGTCACGCTCCCTCCCTGCAACAGCGCGGCGCTCGGGTGGTGTCCCCTTGCGGCGCGGAGCTCCGTTCTGCGGGTTTGATTGTCGGTGTGCATTCTTTGCCGAGTACAGAGCCAGGCAATAGGAACGAAAACGCAGACACGGACGCAGGCGATGCACAGTGGCCTGAGGTATAAGCAAAATGCAGTGCCTGCCACGCTACGTGTCTGGATGCGCTTGGTGGTAGGAAGGCGATTTGAGAAGTCTTCACATTTCGCGTCGGCAAGGCGGTTTAACGAAATCGAAGTGCATACGGAAAGAATGGGGATGAGGACCGACCGCAGTTTCTGGCGATGCTCAACAGCACTCGCTGTCGACGTCGCCGCGGACGTTGTCCGCCTGAGGCAGAAAGTCGCCTGTCCGACAGCGGCCGCTGTCTGTTTTGGACAACATGGTCTGCTGGGTCTAGTAATTTCCCATTCTTGTCCGCACCCACGTCGAGATTCCAAAGTGGGCGCCCGAGGGAATCCGCTCCGAGGTGTTTCGCTGTCTTCTGGCTCCCGACCTCCCAGGGCCCCGGGACCGAGGAGGAGGAAGAGGAGGATGAGGAGGAGGACGAGGAGGAGGAGGCAGAGGAGGAGGAGGAGGAGGCGGCAGCGGAGGAGGAGGAGGAGGAGGCAGAGGAGGAGGAGGAGGAGGAGGAGGAGGAGGGAGGAGGAGGAGGAGGCATAGAAGGAGGCAGAGGAGGGGGAGGAGGAGGAGGAGGAGGAGGAGAGGAGGAGGAGGAGGAGGAGGAGGAGGAGGAGAGGAGGAGGGAGGAGGAGGAGGAAGGAGAGGAGGCGGAGGAGGAGGAGGAGGAGGAGGAGGAGGAGGAGGAGGCAGAGGAGGAGGAGGAGGAGGCAGCGGAGGAGGAGGAGGAGGAGGCATAGGAGGAGGCAGAGGAGGGGAGGAGGAGGAGGAGGAGGAGGAGGAGGAGGAGAGGAGGAGGAGGTGAGGAGGAGGAGGAGGAGGAGGAGGAGGAGGAGGAGGAGAAGAAGGAGGCGGAGGAGGGGGTGGAGGAGGAGGAGGAGGAGGCGTAGGAGGAACATCGACGATCGAGGATCGAGGATGATCGAGCGTTGGACGCGTCCTGGCGGAAGCCACGGGGTCTTGGACAAGTGTTTCCCTCACGGCCCCTTCCCTTCTTTTCATGTTCATCGTGCTTCTTCCTTCGAGTCCTCCTCCTCCCTCCTTGGACATTGGCGTGCGCGGGCAAAGAGGCAAAACAACACGGGAAGGAAGCGAGTGCGATCATGGACGTCGACATTCATGCACATAGACTCGCGCGCGTGCAGACCCATCCACAAACAGACTCGCTCGCGCTCAGACAAACCCGTTTCTCGCACTCAGACCTATCATCTTCTGATCGCGTCGTGTACCCCGCCACAGATTTCGGCGCGCCCTTTAAACGGTCCGTGGCCCCATCGGGAGCGCGGGCGGAGGTAAGATTCGCAATTGCTCTGTTCACAGCTGCATATGGCTGGATCGCTTGCCAGGCTAATTTTGTATTGTTTGTTCTATCTTCTTTTCACCACGACCCAGTCGTGTTGCTGCTGGCCGTGCTAGTAGTAGTTTTGCGCGGCTCGTATAAGTACAGTGTTTCTAATGTTACTAGTATTGATCCTTCTACTATGATTGTGATTTCCACTACCACCTACGACGACGGCGACGACTACTATTATTTTTTCGACTACCACAACAACAACAATCAGTTTAAGACCGTTCGCCCTTGTATGCTCGAGAGTCCAATAACGCGTATTTCCCAAACCTTCGATACCCGCCCTCTTCGTCTTCGATCGAACCCTTTTGGGGGGGTATACCCTTCTTCCCTGCAGGCCGGGGCCCCGGCAAGCGGCGGGGCGGCCGCGGACCGTCTGCCTGGCCAGCGGCAGCGCTGATCGGCGGGGCGGCCGCGGACCGTCGACCCGACCCCAAGAGAGACGGACAGGGGACCGACCACGACGACGACGACGACGACGACGACGACGTCGAAGACGACGGAGACGACGACGATGGCGACGACGAGCGAAAGCGAGAGCGAGAGAGAACGACAGCAGGGCCACGAAGGGCACGAAGTAGGCCACGAAGGGCGACAGCGGGGACACGAAGGGAATGCGTACGGGGCCACGAAGAGCGCGAACGAGCGGGGGCCACGAAGTGCAGATAATGCGGGGCCACAGCAGGCAACTATGGGGCCACTGAGGGCAGCAACTGGGCCACGCAGGACAGTGAGGGGGACACGAATGGCGACAGCGGGGCCACGAAGGGTATGCACATGGGGCCACAACGGGCGCGACTCCTGGGTGCCTGGGTGTCGGGACCGCGGCGCTTGGGCAAATTGCAGGAAATTCCAACGCAAGGCCAGTCTTCAGTAAGTTGCAAGCAAGCCTCCAGCGAGAGCGCGACTCCAGAGCGCCAGGAGAGCGATTCTTGAATAAATTGTAAGGAA